TTTTCAGTCCGAGTTCAAGTTCGCGCTGTTCAATTCCGGTTCATATTCGATTATTACAATAACACATGCTCTAACTCTATCAATAAACACAAGCATTCGCTGCTGTCAAGTCCTCGTGTATTTCACTGGTGTCCGCAGTTCGGGTTGGAGGTAATTCAGTTCTGAGCATTACAGTACGGGTTCTCGAATTCCCGCATTCAGTACTATTCCGATTACCACAATTTGACGTCACGCAATGGAGATTCCTGCCATTGAACAACTGAACCTCCATGAAAGCCCATCGGAAAGCGAAGAGCGGGTAGAAGGTTTCGAATTATGATGCAGCATCCGGAAAAGAGGAACGCAAAATCGATCGGTCCTATTTTTGACGTTGGGTGGCCAAGAGCTCTACTCCCTGGTGAAGAATTTAGCGTTCCCAAATGTTCCTGCTGAATTGCCGTTCGAGAAGTTAAAATCCCTATTGCTGGACCATATTCTCCCAGTGGATTTTCAGGCCACTGAACGGGCCGAATTCAACTCAATGATCAGAGCTACCAACATGCCGTCCTTCGGTTGAATCCTTCAGTTGAATAAACAGGCGTCAAAAAGCAACTATGATGATCGACTGCTGCTATGCTACAGAGGTGGAGCATCGCTCTAGCCGCGTACAACTCCGGCATTCAACATCGTCCATGAAAGACAATCCAGCAGGCTGATTTCCTCTCCCGCAACTCACGATTTTCAGTGGCCGAACAGTGTCATTTCATCTCCGCAGTATCCCAAATGTCGCGGGAATCTTTACACAAATCTACCAAACAGTACTACTCCGCCATACTTTCATCGATCAAGAAAGGGTGGTCACCAGAGGTAAAGAGAAAGCATTCTCAATTCTTTGCTCACCGAAAGGAGTTGTCAGTACAATTGGATGGTATATTGTGTCGCAACAATCGATTAGTAATCCTACCGCCACTGCGGAAGATGGTACTAGATGAATTGCATAAAGAACACATGCGCGTGGAAAAGATGAAATCATTGGCTCGATAGATGTGTTGGTGGCCGGAGTTGGGCACAGACATTTACGCAGCAGCCAAGAACTGAGTCATGTTTACATAAAATACGAATAAGGCCGAAAAGCTGGACACCATGGCCGGAAAGTTACATACCGTGGCAGAGGGTTCACTTGGATTTCTGTGGTCCGTTTCTGAACCGGTATTACGCCCTTGTTCTGATCGATTCATACTCTAAATGGCCAGAAGTATTCTTCACGACTACGCCTACCACATCATTTGTGATACGAATACTAGGGAAATGTTTCAGTCGTAAAGGGATTCCACAAGTGCTTGTGACGGACAATGGATCCCAGTTCTGTGCAACCGAAATGAAGCTCTGGATGGACAGCATTGGTTGTCGGCATCTTCGAACTGCACCACGTCACCCCTGTTCGAACGGATCGACAGAGAATCTAGTCAAAACGGTGAAGAGTGCGATTGCGTCTGCCAATCTTAAAACGCTACCCGAACTGGAAACGTTGGTGGATAACTTCCTCCTCCAATACCGAAACGCAACACATACAACCACCAAGGAGAGCCCGGCAATGCTCTTTAAATCCAGACGCTTGCGATCCTCCCTACAATGCCTCGATTCAAGTGATGTCATATACTTCCGCGGTAATGGTTTGCGACCCGCGTCTGGTATAGTCACACANTTTCATCTGCCCAGCATCACCAGTGTCTAGGGAATCCTTACGCAAATCTACCAAACAGTACTACTCCGCCATACTTTCATCGATCAAGAAAGGGTGGTCACCAGAGGTAAAGAGAAAGTATCCTCAATTCTTCGCTCACCGAGAGGAATTGTCAGTACAATTGGATGGTGTACTGTGTCGCGACGACCGTTTGGTGATCCCACCGCCACTAAGGAAGACAGTACTAGACGAACTACATAAAGGACATATGGGAGTGGAGAAAATGAAGTCTTTGGCTCGACAGATGTGTTGGTGGCCGGAGTTGGACGCGGACATCTACGCAACAGCCAAAAACTGTGAGTCATGTCTACACAAGCTACGAACAAGACCGAAAAACTGGACACCATGGCCGGAAAGTTACATACCGTGGCAGAGGGTTCACTTGGATTTCTGTGGTCCGTTTCTGAACCGGTATTACGCCCTTGTTCTGATCGATTCATACTCTAAATGGCCAGAAGTATTCTTCACAACGACGCCCACCACATCATTTGTGATACAAGTACTGCGAAAGTGCTTTAGCCGCGAAGGAATTCCACAAGTGCTTGTGACGGACAATGGATCCCAGTTCTGTGCAACCGAAATGAAGCTCTGGATGGACAGCATTGGTTGTCGGCATCTTCGAACTGCACCACGTCACCCCTGCTCGAACGGAGCGGCAGAGAATCTAGTCAAAACGGTGAAGAGTGCGATTGCGTCTGCCAATCCTAAAACGCTACCCGAACTGGAAACGTTGGTGGATAACTTCCTACTCCAATACCGAAACGCAACACATACAACCACCAAGGAGAGCCCGGCAATGCTCTTTAAATCCAGACGCTTGCGATCCTCCCTACAATGCCTCGATTCAAGTGATGTCATATACTTCCGCGGTAATGATTTGCGACCCGCGTCTGGTATAGTCACACGACAACTAGGCCAAGCCATGGTGGAAATTACCGACTTGAATGATGCTACTGTGCACAAGCAGGTTCTCGTATTCTGATATTCAATACTATTCCGATTACCTCATCATTTCTAGTTAAATCTAACAGGGACGTGGGCTTGTCTGCGGTGGGTGACACAATAGCGCAGCATGAAAAATCTCTTGAACAGTTTTGACTGGCCACCCTTCAGACTTGGGCAACCGGTAGTTCTTCCAGCTGATTTTTAACACATTCAAATTTCGCTTGCATCGAAGCCTAGCACAGGTAAATTCTCATCGGCCCATTCGCAGTTCGAACTCCGGACACTTCACTTTTAAGGAGTGTGTTGTAGTGGCTCCATCGCACAGAACCATCATAGAAATGGCTAAGCAGGAAAGTACAAAATGGAAAATAAGCTACGGGACAAGAGAAGACATTACTCATGGTACCACAAGCACGTTCGAAACGAGAGATAGAGCAAACCACATACACAGTTGCGTCTTCATATACCCGTCGCGCTGTCAGATTCAATCCGCCACAGTCCTTGAACCGTTCAGCGATAGGACGAGTGCCAGGGAAACTGTATGGCTAAATGTTTACCCGCGTTTTATCAATTTTAGAAGTTAACCCAGCTGTCTGTACCTCGAAGGGAAAAGGCTCATGATAACCAAGTGGTTAGGATGAATGACAGGTGGGCTGTACAAATGTAACAGTGTTACCACTTTATAAAGCAGCTCAAACCGGAGATTATTAGAATTACCCAATAAAGTTATATGCAAAAAAAACTTCTATTTGTTTAGACGTGTTCTTTATTAAGATCGCGTGGGATAATGGTTAGACGGTTTCGACACAAAGTAAACTAGACTTCCAGTTAACCGTTATCGAATGTTTCCCATCTCTTTAAATCTTCCGCGCAAATAATGACAATTTCGAGTCGAATCATAAATTTCCTTTTTCAGACAAACATTTCGGGTATCTGGACAGCGTTAACATCACTTGTCAGCACTCGTCCTAAGGCTGATTTGACCTCAGATAACCCCGTTCCCACAGACAAACATTGCACAAACGGATGTGCCCAACGCCCGATCCAGATCGGTGACGTACACACAGGCACGGACACAGACGTACATGCAAACGCACACACACACACACACACACACACACACACACACACACACACACAATGCGTGCGAGGTTATTTGGCAAACTGTTCCTGACTCTTGATTGTAAAATCGCCTTGATAACGGTTACCCACGGTAACCGAAACGTCGGCTTATTTTCATCTGTACCGATATCGCTGTTTTCAAAATTACAACTTATATAAAACATTTCTAGTTCAAACCAACGAGCCTGTAGAGAATGATCTATATTAATACTGGATCTTTACAATAAACAATCAACTTCACACTTTTTGTTGATCGCATCAGATTCCGAAGAAGTATCCTGTTAAAATACAAACGAAGTTTTTGCAAACTGCTGAAGCGTTATCATAACCAGGCATGGATTTGATTGCACAATTTCCATTATAGTAACAACCTAACGACTGTTAGCAATGTTGGAATACACGTTTAATACTGAAAATAAAATGAGCGTTATACTAGTTCTCAGATTTTTGACTTGACTTGATATTCTCTTATCGTATCATAAATCTAAAGGTAGAAAGCAAAGGAACTAATCTTGGCGACGGTAATCAAAACTAATCTACTAATTTCATTCGCCTCACTCCTGCGTAATCGAAGCCGAGAATTGAGATAATTGATTGAAGCAATGTTTATCATATTACATAACACATCATTCAACTTAACCTCAAATAGCACACCCACCCGTCATCACGTTCATACAGTCCATGTTCAATTCCTGTCTTTATGAGATCCATGCTGTTCAACAGCACACACACAAATGAATGCATGTACACACCTTCTCGAAAACAATGGCATGGCAACACAGTTTTCCGTCACATACATCATCAATCGTCTGCACAACACGTACGTGGTAAATCAATAAATACTGCACTGATAAACGAATGAATGCAGTAGTACGAAATTCGGAGAAAATTGTGACTATTGTTACCTTGCTCACTGTAGTTTTTGTGCAAACTTCATCCCTTGGGCGTCTTTAAGTTCCGGCTCAGTTTCTCTCCCGTTGTTTCCCGAGAACAGAGCCAGTTGGAAAGATTCAATATGGTCCTAGTTAGTTCTGATGGGTGGCTAGTCATTCGTACTATAGTTTAGAAGCCTTAGTAGACACCTGTTTGGCAAAATTCAGCGCACCTCGTGGCGCTTTTCAAGCGGCCTATGTCACGGTGACGGACTCGTACTGGATTATGCTATGATACGAGTTTCTAACACAGTCACTGAAATCGTTCTTCGGCTGTAACAGCTTCGCTCTCACTTCATTCACTATCACGTGCCTTAGGTTGCTGTCAATCATAACTGAACAATCGGCTCTCTGGTATTTACTCACTATAATAGTATTCATACTGGGATTTACAATTTCAAGAAATATATAGTGAATATCGTCATGCACAGAGTAAAGGAAGCATGAACTGAAAATTTAGATAACGCTGTACAGCTGAAAAAATGGAACGGTTGTATATCGGGTTATGAATGTTTATGGTGTTATGTTCTCCGAGCTGGAAGTGTTCAGGTCAGGTCAGGTATCACAGAACGGGAAAGGCTTTCGCCAACCAAGCGTCCTGATTCCTGCTAAGTTAGAAAAGTTTCTTCTCCCAAAGCTTCAAACTCGTTTCAGTCGCTGTCTTGCAAATGTTTTCCGGCAGGAAACTGGTT